AGTTGGGTTTGTGTTGTGTGAATATCTTCTTACAGATCTCTCTCCATCTGGTGAAGTTTGTCATTTTTAATGGCTTCAATGACCATATTGGAGCTGGTGTCTTCCTGAAAGAGTTGTCAGAACTAGACTTAATTAATGAAATAATAATAAATGCTGTAATAAAATATCACTCACATTGGAAGGGATGTATTTGTCTTCATCATCAATGCCCAGAGGAACAGAGATGAGCTTCTGAAAGGCCTTCTTCATCCTCTCTCTGTCACCGATAGCATAGTAACACAGGATAAGGTTGAAGCCTGTCTTGATATTTGGACTCTCGCTCATGATGTGCTCGAAAGACGTAATGGCATCTGTGTACTGGCCCATGCAGATAAACACTACACCGATATTCTGCATGATCTTGATCCTCATTTCTTTGTGGGCATTTGTTATCTGATCCAGTGCCATTCGGTAGAACTTGATGGCTTTAGGATAGTTCTTCTGTTTAAAGTAGATGTTGGCCATGTTGACTTTCAGGCGGCCTGGAACAGCAGCATGCATAGTTTGATGGAAAAACCACAAGACAAGCGATACAACAAAGAATTTACAATGTATGAAACATGACTTTTTTCTTATGTGTCAGTGATCTGGGACTATTTAACACAATGCCACAATTTTCCCAGCAGTAAAAATCCAAGATACTGCAAGAATACACCAAGAGCTACACCTCAGAGTCTACAGGCCTCAGTTATCATGTTAAAGCTCATGAGAGTACAATTAGAAAATGATTGAACTAGTATGGCTTATGTATATGTTTCTACAAGAAGAGCATAGCTTAGATTTGCACTCATTGAGACATCCATGTACGCATCTTTATACCAAAGTATTGTAGAGTAAAAGGTGAGGCCACCTGTAAAGCGTGGGTGTTACTGGGTCATGGGGAGGACAATGATCCCATGAAAACAAGCAGATCTATAACAGAATGACTAAAAAAAGAAAAGAATCAACACGCTGCAATAAACGAGTCAGAGTGCAGACCTCAACATGATTTAAATCCTGTGGTAGGAAAGCTGTGGATAAATGAATGCCTGAAACCCTCAAGGAACTGAAGCAATGTTGTAAAGAACAGTGAGCCAATATTCCTCAACAATAACAGGAGACACTGATAAAGTCATAGGGAAAAATATTACTTGAAGTTGCTGCTGCTGAAGGTATTCCACAAGCTTTCATGCGGTGTATAAAACTTTGTTTTCACATGATTGTATTTACAAGGGCTGCCACATTCTAAGTACACCAGCAGTGAGTGTGAAGCTGAACGACCTGCTCACCTGCGTTACTGAACATTTTATTCTTCACAATGATCTGGTAGCTGTTCAGGGCCTCTGGGTACATTTCATTGTTTGTGTATTGGTTGGCAAGGTTGAGCAAAACCTGTAATGGGAGAAACATTTAATATTTCTAAGTAAAATAATTAAAAACTGATGTTAGAAATTGATTCTCAAAAACAAACTTTAAATTGTATCTGTCTTTCGCAAGCTGTTCCTTCCTAAATAGCTGAGCCATGAACACAAACATCTGAGATGATTTACTTTAATATTTTAATATGAAACAATAATAATAATTTACTCTGAATGAGATAAATAAGAACAGATTTTGCATACACTACTGAGTAAGCACTTATGGTTTATTTCTACAGTTATTGTAGACCAGGAGGATATGGAGCATTTTAAATGAAAAGTACAACTTTGATTTATATTTGACTGGAAAAAAAACCCTCTCTTGCTTATTTTTGCTTATCACTTATCAGTTCGGTTTTTCAGGCATTAAAAAGTAGTTTTTTCAAAAGACAATCAACACCAGACTGTTCTTTTAGAAAGCAAATCGTTACTCATGAGTGCAGAGTGTAGAACAAGCATACAGCAGCCTGACTTACAGAGTACGTGAGGTCTAAATTTATATGGTCTGCACTGCCAGACTGTTCCCTCTGTCTGACCAGGGCTCTCTCCTTCCGCCCTGCCTCTTTGGCTTTTTCAAGGGCCTGTAGACACAGACACACCCACACAAACACACACAGCAAGTAAGCCACTTCTGGGTAATAATCAGAAGTAATTATGAATAAACACTCTGCTGCAATGATGTAACAAGTTTTTTCCTGCCCATTAGACATTCTGGTGCCGACCAAAAAGGCCTTGGCCTTCCACAAGATGAAAATTACCTGTAATAACAATATTTTTAAAAACAGTTCTTTTAATTTTTCAGAAATCACAGCAAACCACACACTGCTGTTATGTGACATAACACATTGCCTATACAATATGTAGACCAATTTCCCCCATGTATGAAAAACCGCTGGAAATGAGAAGGTTGATAAACTTCAAGTACTTTGTCCTAACAGTCGTTTTAGGTTACTCTGGTAGAAATGTAAGCAGTTTTATACACTTCACTGTGAGAGAGCTGACACAGTTAAAAATGAATTATGGCAAACTGCCCCACTTGGAGAGCCTTCTCTTTAAATCCAGACAGTCAATATTAGTAAAAAGTTTGTTAAAGAGTGAAAGGCTGACCACTTGTAAGGCTCCCGTGCTCTGTGCCATGCAGCTCTCCTCTATCAGGTCATTCACTTTCTTCTCCAAGATTTTGATCTTCTCCTCAGGCCTGCAAGAACGTGATGAGAGTGAAACATTTGTCAGTTTATAATAGCTGGTAATAAGAGGCCCAAGGTGTGCCAAGAAAATATCCCCCACACCATTACACCACCACTCCCAGCCTGAACCACTGGTGCGAAGAAGGATGGCGAAATGTTTTTGTGTTCCTTATGCCAAATTGTGACCCTACAATCAGAATTGCGATGCTTTCTTTCTGTTCTTCTAATCTATTCTATTAGTCGCATGGTGTGGTCTTCTGCTGATGTAGCCAATCTGCTTTAAGTTTTGACGTGTTGTGCATTCAGAGATGCTCTTCTGCATACCTTGCTTGTAAAGAGTGGTTGTCTGAGTAACTGTTACCTTCCTATCATCTCAAAGCAGCATCAACACGACAATTTCAACCAGAAAATTGCCGCTCCCAACAGATCTGCAGTTTTTAAAACACACAAACTCAAACCAGGCTGTTTCAAGCAAACAGTCATGCCCCGTTCAAAGTCATTTAAATCACATTTCTTTCCCGGATGCAAGGTTTCAACTTCAGCAGGTCATCTTGACCATGTTTATGTGCCTAAATTTACTGAGTTGCTGATATAAGACTGGCAGATTAGATATTTGCATCAAAGAGCAGTTGAACAGGCATACCAAATGAAGTTGCAGAGTGAGTGTACTGCATAGCATTTTCACACTGAAACAAAGCAGTCTAAAGTGATAACTTACGTATCCTCATTCTTTGCTTCGAGTGCAGGTGCAGGACCCCTGGACTGGCCCAGAGGGTCAAAGGCTGAGCCTGAAAATATAAATCATACCAATTCATCACTATATAACTGTAAGGGGAAAGACACAAAACTTGCATATATAAATATGTCCTTACAAGAATGCACAGAGGTTTATATTAACAAAAAAATGCAATTTTTTTTTATTTTTTAACATTAGAAACACTCAACTGTACCTATTCCTGAAGTATACAATAATAACTTTTTAATCATTATCGACACGCAAAAGACAATAGATGAAACAGACAACTTTTAACTCACCGCGACTCAGGGAGGAGGTGTAACCTGCTGCTTTGACGGCAGTCATTGGACGGGCTGACCCATCCTGGTATATTTGCAAAAAACAAAAAATACATATATAGCAAACACTAATTATAAAAAAAAATCTAACAAAAACTATGCAAGACCTTATTTGCACATTTGATTGTTTAATAATACGTCTCACCTGTACAGCTCCAGTCATGGGTCGTCCCATTGAAGAGGCCATATGAAGCCGAGCCTTTGTGAAACAATAAGTATCAATATTGTAATCAATAACAATAATTTAGGTCTTTTTAACATGTAGATATGAACAAAAACATTCCACATAAATGCTTCACAGTAATGAAACAATCACCGTCATTGGCTGCACATCTTGTCACCGATCATTGATTTAATCTGAGCAACTTTCAACAAAGAACTGCACTTTGAAGGAGGTATCTGTATTTGTTTTGCTCATTCAAAAATGTTTCACTTTTAAAGGATCATTCTATTTCGTTGTACTTACGCCAAAAGAAGAGGCTAAAGATCGAGGTCCAATGGGAGTGCCAGGAAACTTGGCAGTCATCTAGAAAATTAAAGACATGATATATTAGTAGTTAAACGATTTATACACCTCCAGAAAACCCCCCTCTCTCTCCCACTTACTTACTCATTTAC